ATTTTGAAAGTGATTCCAACGATATCGTTTCTCTTTGTCTTTATCGTTATAGTTGTGGTGTGGACTCTGCTATTCTTTAATATTGAGAACGATTTTTAGAACTATATCTTTATCGTTATCTTTATAGTTATCGTGCTTGGTGTGAACGGGGCCTTAAGTCATGTTGGATGTTATGTATTGAAATAGAAGCTCATCCACTAAGAGATGCTCAGCGCCGCTGATCCTCTTCTTTCTGATCAAAAACAAAATAAAAAATATATATTATTTGTATTTTCAGAAGGAAACGCCACAAACATTATTAGCAGCTGAGGCACACAGGCAGGTATTCAAAAACCATTATCAGTTGATTTATCAGTTGAATGCTGAATGTTATATTAATGTGAGTAAATATAGGATTGTGAAATTTTAATATTGAATGTCTTTGATGAAATTAAAACCAAATGGAAAGCTTGTGCTAGTATCAAATTCTGTGCTGGGTCTGCAGTTCAATTTAATGCAGAATAGTCGAGAAGACGCAGTGTTTTACAACACAATCGCCGCTAGATGACTCCAGTGTCCCAGAAACCTTTTCAAAGGTCAAAGAGACTCTGAGGAGCAGGAACTGTGTCAGTTATTCATCAGCACAAACACAGTTAATGAAATATAAATCAGAGTGTTAACTAGCCAATGAGAATAAAGTTCACTTGTCATCCTGTAACTGAATATCACCCCGCCAAAGCTCCTTTACTTACTCAGAGGCCTAGTTAACTATGACTAGTTGGTCTGGGCATTATTAAAATATGGCTTGGATTTGGCAGAAAAAAAAACGTTGTGCTTGAAAAATCTCTTGACTCTTCAATCTGGAATAACACTTCTGTCATTTATAGTTATTTATTTACTTTTTAAGTACTTTTTTATTTAATTATTTTAATTAAGTAAATATAATTTTTATATACTTATTTTTGTTTGCACCGTTTTAAACATTTGTGTAGGACCTAACAAGCATGAAAAAAGGAAATTAATAATAATATGAATAATCTTAATAATTGGATTTTGTTAATACTTGCATTTTTTAAATATGAAAAAGTTGGGAGTACATCCAAAGTCAAAGTTCAAAGGAAGTTCAAATGTTCATATGGTGAGTGTCCCTCCACATTGAAAAATTTACTACTTTTAATTTACCATTAAATAATTCAGCTGATTTAGACATTTCATTTGTGTTCCATTGTTTTATGTTTGTGTGTCAGATTTTTATTGAAATAAATTAATGGTAGGCCTATAATGTATTGAATATATTATCTAATCGATGTTTGTTTTGAGATGCTATTGACACCATTGTGGAAAATTCATCTTTAATGAGAATTTGTCACTGGTGTTAAAACCCTTGCTTTACAAAACAAAACAAAATTATATAAGAGTAAACTAAATTAGATTTAAGAAAGAACAAAAGTTAAAGTCATTCTGCCTTTTATCATTATTGATAATGTCAAAATGCTAATAAATACTTTGAGATTTTGGGAATGGCAACTTAACAGAACTGATTTTCCAACCAAATGTGTTTTTTATTCATTTATTTTTATATATATACCTCCATTTGTTGCTGAATCCATGTGAGAGCTTCACTTATGCTGGTGTAAATTCCTGGTTTGTTTGCTTGTCCACAGCTCTCAGCCCAGCTGGCTGCCCCCACCAATGTCCACCCGGACCCCTGACAGGCCAGCGGCCCTCCGCTGTCCCCCTACAGACAGAAGACTAGGGGTTCAACTAGTGTTCATCGTCTGTTTGATTTCGTCATTAACTGAATTTTACCGTACATTTCTGCCATATGTACATCAATTTGACATAGTCACCACTGACAAGCTACTACTAAATATATTGTAGAAACTTAATTTTCTGTAAAGCTGCTTTGCAACGATTTGTATCGTGAAAAGTGCGTTACAAATAAACTTGAATTGAATTGAATTGAATTGAAGAACCAGCATGACTCTAAACCAGTATAGAATAAGTGTAAACCAAAATGGACCAGCACCAGACCAGCATAAACCTGACTGAGCGGACACAAAATCAGTATAAACCAGCCCTGATCACCATCAGTCCTAGTGCAGAACCAGTATAAACCAGTCTGGACCAGCACCAAATCAACATAAACCAGTCTGGGCCAGCACAGAACCAACATAAACCAGTCTGGACCAGCATCTAACTAGCATAAAACAATCTGAACCAGTGTCAGAACATTATAAACCAGTCTGAACCAGCACAAAACCAGTATAAATCAGTCTGGGCCAGCACCAGACCATCACAAACCAGTCTGGACCAACACAGAACCAGTATAAACCAGTCTGAAGTAGCATCCAACTAGCATTAAACAATCTGGACCAGCACAGAACCAGCGTAATCCAGTCTGGACTACCATCCAACTAGCATAAAACAATCTGGACCAGCACAGAACCACCATAACCCAGTCTGGACTAGCATCCGACTAGCATAGCACAGTCTGGACCAGTACCAGACCATTATAAACCAGTCTGGACCAGGACCAGACCATCATTAACCAGTCTCAACCATCACAGACCCATTATAAACCAATCTGAACCAGCACCAGACCAATATAAACCAGTCTAGACTAGCATCTAGCTAGCATAAAACAGTCTCTGGACCAGAACCAGACCTTTATAAACCAGTCTGGACTAGCATCTGACTAGCATAAACCAGTCTGGACCAGCACCAGACCATCATTAACCAGTCTCGACCATCACAGACCCATTATAAACCAATCTGAACCAGCGCCAGACCAATATAAACCCATCTGGACCAGCACAGAACCACCATAAACCAGTCTGGACTTGCATCCGACTAGCATAGCACAGTCTGGACCAGTACCAGGCCATTATAAACCAGTCTGGACTAGCAGCTAGCGTGCCTAAAACAGTCTGGACTAGAACCAGACCTTTATAAACCAGTCTGAACTAGCATCTGACTAGCATAAAACAGTCTGGACCAGTACCAGACCATTATAAACCAGTCTGGACCAGCACCAGACCATCATTAACCAGTCTCGACCATCACAGACCCATTATAAACCAATCTGAACCAGCACCAGACCAATATAAACCCATCTTGACCAGCACAGAACCACCATAAACCACCAGTCTAGACTTGCATCCGACTAGCATAGCACAGTCTAGACCAGTACCAAACCATTATTAACCAGCAGTGGTGGAAAGAGTACTGAAAATTTGTACTCAAGTACAAGTACTGTTACGAAGTAGATTATTTTTCTTAATTTGTATTTAAGTACAAGTAAAAGTACAGCTTTAAAAATATACTCCAAAAAGTACAAGTACCCGAAAAAACTACTTAATTACAGTAACGTGAGTAGTTGTAATTCGTTACCTCCACCACTGTAAACCAGTCTGGACCAGCACCAGACCATCATTAACCAGTCTCAACCATCACAGACCCATTATAAACCAATCTGAACCAGCACCAGACCAATATAAACCAGTCTAGACTAGCATCTAGCTAGCATAAAACAGTCTGGACCAGAACCAGACCTTTATAAACCAGTCTCGACCATCACAGACCCATTATAAACCAATCTGAACCAGCGCCAGACCAATATAAACCCATCTGGACCAGCACAAAACCACCATAAACCAGTCTGGACTTGCATCCGACTAGCATAGCACAGTCTGGACCTGTACCAGACCATTATAAACCAGTCTGGACTTGCATCTGACTAGCATAGCACAGTCTGGACCAGTACCAGACCATTATAAACCAGTCTGGACCAGCACCAAACCATTATAAACCAGTCTGGACTAGCATCTAGCTAGCATAAAACAGTGTGGACCAGAACCAGACCTTTATAAACCAGTCTGGTGGACTAGCATCTGACTAGCATAAAACAGTCTGAACCATTACCAGACCATTATAAACCAGTCTGGACCAGCACCAGACCATCATTAACCAGTCTCGACCATCACAGACCCATTATAAACCAATCTGAACCAGCACCAGACCATCATTAACCAGTCTCGACCATCACAGACCCATTATAAACCAATCTGAACCAGCACCAGACCAATATAAACCCATTTGGACCAGCACAGAACCAGTACAAACCAGTCTATACCAACACCAGATCACCATAAACCAGTCTGGACCAGCACAGAACCAGCTCAGACCTGTTTTTTGCAGCAAGGATGACATGATACTCACCCGTACACACAGTGCGCAGCAGTGAGAATCCAGCGCTCACTGATGACTGATCCTCCACACAGATGCTGGTTCTGGTAATGCAGGCTGACCTGCCACGGGACCAGCCCAGACCTCGACAGGTTCCCTCCCACAATACGACTGCGGACGGCTGGCCTGGAGCCACACTCTACACCGCAACACACAAACTGGATCTGAGTGGAAAACTCACTAACACCATGCAAAAGTCACCAAAACATGCATCACAGGAAAATAGTTAAAAATAGTTATTATAAAATTGCAACAATATTTATGTGTTTTCACTGTATTTTTGATCAAATAAATGCAGACTTGGAGAAGAGAGAGAAAACAATATCATCAAACACTCACCTATACACTTGACAGCAGTCACTACACCAGAAGTGCACTGAGTTTTTCTGGAATAATAGAAAATACACTTTTAGTGCCATCAATATCTTTCTCTCTATCTGAACTACACACACGGTTTCATTTCTATGCTTCCATTTACCTTTGTATTAAAAAAGCAAATCAACTCTGTCTCATTTCATTTCAGTGTACTCCACACTGAAATTAAATGAGACAAGAGTTGATTTGCTTTTTTCAAGATGGCTTTCTTTAAGACAGAATCGGCTCAAAACTATGAGGTTCCATTTGTGTCAAAAATGGACAAAGACAAATGTATAGTACAAAGCACAAAGCAGTCGACTCATTTTTGACACAAATGGAACCTCATACAAAACCTCTTCTTGCCAAAAAAAAAAAGCCATTCTGGTGTTCATACATCTGAAGGTTAGAGATCTCGCAGCTTTGGGACTCAGAGACAGTCCTGACTGCTTTATCAGGAACTAAAGACACTTCTGAACATCAATATATCTACAGAAGTACTTCAGATTGTTTGGAGTCAGTGTTGAACAATCTGCCATGCAATGCGTCAGTCACTGGACTGATCTTATTTGACAGTCTTTGGCCTGAATAACACTTCCTCAGGCTTGAGTCAATTTGATTTAGAGTGATTGTAATGCTCATTTTAAGCTAAGGCACAAGTGCTGTCAATATTAGTTGGTTACTTTTTAAAACTTACATTCATGTTAATTTTGAATTAGACATGAAAAGAAAATGACTCAGTTCAGTAAGGGAGTCATTTGTGACCTTAGTAATGACTCTGACACTGGCTGGATGGTTCTGATTCAAATCACTTAAAGGAATAGTTCATCAAAAATAACAAATTTGGTGAAAATTAGCTCAACCTCAGGCTATTCAAGATGTAGAAGAGTTTGTTTCTTCATTGGAACAGGTTTAGAGAAATTTAGCTTTGCATCACTTGCTAATCAATGAATCCTCTGCAGTGAATGGGTGCCGTCAGAATGAGAGTCTAAACAGCTGATAAAAACATCACAATAATCCACAAATATTGACTCCAGTCTATTAATTAATGGCTGGTCAAGCAAAAACCTGTTTGTAAGAAACAATGCATTTTAAAGCATTTTAACTTTATGACCAAAATACGTCCATAATCCATAACACTTAATCCAGTGTAAAGGTCTATCCCCTGTTGTCCTCTCATATTAAAATCCACAGACATATTTGTTTAGAACTGTTTTAGACTGTTTTCACTTGTAAATCGTGCATGGTCTGTGCATATTTCATTTCTGATTCAGACAAGATTACATTTTCACTGGAGAAAACACTATTATGGGTAAATGAAAACATTGTTTTGTTTGGAAGAAAAGGATTGAAGTTAAAAAAAATCTTGGTGGATTTGTTTAATACAAACACACAGCTTTTCACTTTACAAGACTTTAATTGATGGACTGGAGTCATGTCAGTTACTTGTGAATTATTGTGATATTTTTATCAGCTGTTTGGACTCTCGTTCTGACAGCACCCATTCACTACAGAGGATCCACTGGTGTGCAAGTAATGTAATGATACATTTCTCCAAATCTGTTCTGATAAAGAATCAAACTCATCTACATCTTGAATCGCCTGAAGGTGAGCAAATTTTCAGCAAATTTTTATTTTTGTGAACTGTTCCTGTAGATGCGCATGACAATCACATGCGATTAATTGCACAGCCCTACTGTAAGTGATTTGAATCAGAATCATCCAGTCGGTGAATGATTCAGAGTCATTACTATGGTCACAAATGACTCCCTTACTGAACTGTCAGTCATTTTATTTTGAAAATTAACATTTGCATTTTATTTTCTTATTCTCTTAAAGTTCATTATTTTGGCCAATATGTGTGACCATTCAGTTCCGCCTGGAGCCCTGAAAACTAAATTTTTTACATTTTGGAAGGGTACATTTGGTTTCTTTTGCACGCAGGAGTATAAAGGAAAGATAAGGATGTGATATGTGGCCAAGTATGGTGTCCCATACTCGGACTTTGTGCTCTGCATTTAACCCATCCAAGTGCACAGCCGTGAATAGTGGCCACATACACACACACACCTTGAACACACCCGGAGCAGTGGGCAGCCATTTTTGCTGTGGCACCCGGGGAGCAGTTGGGGGTTCAGTGCCTTGCTCAAGGGTCTCACCTCAGTTGTGGTTACTGAAGGTGGAAGAGAGCGCTGGTCATTCACTCCCCCCACCTACAATCCCTGCTGGAACCGAGAGTCGACCCGCAACATTCGGGTTACAAGTCTCTAACCATTAGGCCAGGACTGCCCCCAAAATAAGGTTTACCTGAGGTGTGAAGAGTTTTGGATCTTGAAGTTGTCTTGAAGGCCTGTTTGGTTGATATTAAGAGCCACTAGATTATTCTGAAAGACTGCTTCAATGGAGGAGATGGGAACATCAGTAGAGCTCACGTAGCTACAATCAGACAGAGGACAACAAAAGAGCAATCATTAGTCAAATGAATTTTCCTTAAATAGCAGGCATGGGAGATGATAATATCGGCTCCGATGTTAGTCAGTGGAGATGAAGACAATAATTGCAGACCATGGATCTGAAGTTACTGAGATTATAGTCTGGATCTTTCACAGCTGTCCCACTGAGCAGGACACTGACGGCTGATACTATAAATAGCAGAACCCTATGAAAATTACACTAAATTTGTCCTAATTTGTACACCAAAAATGCCATGCAAATTTTTTATTATGAATAATTTTATCATTTTGAAAAAAATTCTAGTTATTATTTTCCAAGCTCTGAAATATTTTATTGGGTAGAAATTTTGAGTAAAAATATTTTTAAAAGGTAATTTTCCTTAATCTTTATCCAGTAATTCACAAACAGCTGGAAAGGTCATTAATTCATTGGTCAAAAAGAGTAGGAACCCTGAAGAACATTCGGCTCTTGAAACCTAGTTTCCCATCCATGTTTGATTGTGTCATTTAGTTCAGGTGTGTGTCAGTAATTATCTTCATTAGCTTCTGTACTTATAGTCCAGTCTGTTCCATTAGTCTCTGTGCGGTATTGAATGTCGATGTTGCTGTATGTGATGTGCTACGTGTGTCTCCTGTTGTGGATTTACCCCCGTGTGGATTATATTAAATACGGTTTGAATTCATCTCCTTCTTCGTGTGCTCCTCATTCCACCGTAGCGTGACATTATCATTGCATCAGATGTACCAGACGAAAAAAGACAAAAACTGCACACATCCAGCAGACAAAAAGCTCAATGAGGGTGCTCAATCACAAAAGTCAGAAAACGGCAGCAAACCAGAGCTCCAAAAGTAGAAAAATAATTTAATGCATGCGATATTTCAAGCCATATGGTCTGATGAAGAGCTGTTCACTGTCAATGTTGCTGTACGTCTTTTTTTTTTTTTTTCTACTTTTGAATCTCTGGGGTGCCAAATTGTTCTTAAGACCAAATATACCAGAGGAATATAATTGTCTGATAGTACATTCTTTGTACCTGTTGTATCCCAGTTGTTTGCAGGCTACAGAGCCCAGGTGAGAATCCCAGCCTTCAGAGCACACAGTCCTCCATGAGCCCCTACTGAACACCTGCAGCACAGAGCTCCTGCCACTCACACGCACTGAGAGAGAGAGACAGAGAGGTTAGGGTCAGGTTTGAGGATTGGGAAAGATTTGCTCATGGGGACAAAATTGGTGTCAAAGTTGATCGTATGTAATTTTTTCTTTGAAATCATTTAGAGTATGGATCAACAGAAATGTGTACTGAAACAATAAATAGAGTCGATATATATGTTATATGTTGATTTTAAGGTCAAGAAGAGAAGGATAGGATCAACCCACCACAGCTGAGCTCGTCTTCTCCATCTCCACAGTCCTCGACTCCATCACACACAGCATTTCTGCTGATACACTGAATCGACGACAAACAGCGGAACTTTCCTGAGCAACTCTTCAGACCCACTGGAGAAAAGGAGATTGAATGCATGATGGTGACAAACACACACACACACTCCTGTCTAAAGGAAGTTTACACAACCATCTGTCATCATAGAGCAGGGTGGAGCTCATTAAACATTTACAGTTCCCACTGCTCAGGATGAGTTTCATTTAATAAGGAGGATACTTACTTACCTTCACACACACATATATTTTCTTGCCATGGTGGGGAATTGCTTTTGACTTCTCTTGTCTATTACTAATCTAATAATATTTTTTCCCATAAGCCTATACCTGACCCTAACACATTTTTATTTTTTTCCCATTTAGACATTATTTAGTTTGTCAAGTTTAAGTTTGTAAGGTTTAGGCAAATCTGCCCAAACACAGGTTAATATATTTGTATATTTGGAATCATTAAGTTTTTTTTTTTTTAAGTAAAAAATGTAATATTGTGAAACATTATTACAACTTAAAATAACAGTTTTTTTTGTGTTTTTTTTATATATTTTAAAATGTAATTTATTTCTGTGATGGCAAAGCTGGATTTTCATCATTACTCCGGTCTTCAATGTCAAAAATTATTATAATATGATTATTTGCTGCTCAAGAAACAATTTAGTATTGTTTTATATTATTATTGGAAAATTTAATACATTTTTTCTTCAGGATTGTTGGGACAGAGGCAAAATAAAAACGAAGAGGTTATAAAATATCCACGTTAAACTGTTCACAGTAAGCAGGTGAATTGGTAATAGGTCAAGGTATCATGTTTGGGTATAAAATTAGCATTTCAGTCTTTGCAAGCAAAGCTGTATCGTGGCTCATCACTTTGTGCCAAATTTCACGAGAGAAGTGTCAAATCAAAAATCACATTTCGCAATGCAAAATTGCAAAGAATTTAGGTCTTTCACCAACTACCACACGTAATATTGTGAAAAGATTCGGGGAATCCAGATAAATCACAGTACATGTAAGGCAAGGCAGGAAACCTCAGTTGAATGTGCTTTACCTTTGAGCCCTCAGATGGCATTGCATAAGAAACCGTCATGCTGTGGTGTTAAATATAGCCACATGGGCTCAGGAGTACTTCAGAAAACCACTGTCATTTACCACAGTCTGCTGCTGCATCAAGAAATGCAACTTGAATCTCTGTTACTCTAGGAGAAAGCTATACATCAGTTCTATGCAGCAATGCTGCCGGGTTCTCTGGGCCAGAGCTCATCTCAGATAGTCAATAAGACCACATTTCAACTTGTTTCCGGAAAAAATGGATTTCAAGTTCTCAGTCCCAAAGACCAAAGGGTCCATCCAGACTTTCATTAGCAACAGAAGCAAAAGCAAACGTCTGTCATGGTATGGAGGTGCAGCAGAGCAAACAGCATGGATGACTGGCTTATGTGCGAAGGTACTTTTGACATAGAGGCATATATTGGGATTGAACAGAGACATATACTGCCATCAAGATGATGTCTTTCATGGGAAGTCCATTCTGCATGTACTACAACAGCGTGGTTTCGTAGACAGAGTGAATGTGCTAGACTGGCCAGCAGATCTATCTCCTATTGAAAATGTATGGCTCATCATGAAAAGGAGAATCAGACAATGATGATCACAGACTGCTGAGCATCTGAAGTCTTGTATCAAGTCAGATTGGACAAAAATTTTACTTACAGAACTTTAACAATTAGTATCCTCAATTCCTAAACAATTAAAAACATTGTAATTAAAAGGACCGTTGATGTGACACAGTGTTAAACATGCCTCTGTCCCAACTTTTTGCAGCCGTCAAAATCCAAATTTGTTCATATTTACAAAATACATTTACGTTGGTCAGTGAAAACTTTGGAAATCTTTTCTTTGTACTTTTGTCAATTAAATAAAAGTTAAAGAGAATGAACAAATCACAGATGCTTGATTTTATTGTATTTTACTAAATGTCCCAGCTTCTCTGGAATTGCGGTTGTAGAATGATTTCTGAATACCGGAAATATAATACAACGCTGCCATCACAGGAATAAACTACATTTATATGAATATACCATCATTTTTTCAATTGAAGATGTCTCTGGACATCCCTAAAGGCAGGTTTGGTCAGATTTAAATAACCTCTGGAGGACAATTTTGCTCCCAAATTACAAAAAAAAAAAACACAGACTCACCTCCCAAACCTATTCCTAGAACCAGAACCAAGACAATAAGCAATCCCAAGATGATGAGCAGAGCCAGCAATCTGCGAGACACATATGGCCAACACAAAGACTTCAAGTCTGACAGTCTTTCTCCTGAGAGACAGAGAGAGGGAGGGAGACAGCTGAATGAAATCAGTCTGCTAAAGGCCAGAGCTGCCAGCGGAGTAAGACTGATTAGATCACTGTTAGCACCTTAAGTGTCCGTCCTCTAACCCATGTGTAACTGGCCGTGTAAAGCACATGCTGAAGCCATTTTTGATTGTACTTACTCAATGTGACACACCAAGAAAGCGAGAAGCCTGCTTACCGTCCAAGAAGGGCTGGACCTTGATGACGGGCACACCTGGGCTGGGTGGGATCTGAATGTTATGGGCTTTATACACAGGCAGTGGAGCGGACGCCACGGCGGGCAGCTCAACGGGGACGTGAGGGTCCTGCGAGTCTGGGTCGTAGAAGTGACTGGAATGGCTGTTTTGACTGCTGAAGGAACTCACATTGAACGTGGTGGGCGTCTCGACAACAGGAAGGTCCTCTTCTGTGACAGAGACTAACTCAAGAGCACCAGATTCAGTGCCGTCCTCTACCGCATCCTGAGAGCGTGCGAGAACAATGACAAATAAGAGACACTTTTAAATTATACCAAGGAATGCACAAACAGTCAAACCTTTGGAAGTAATTACTTTTTTTTATGATTTAATGATCATCTATGTTCACCAAGGGTGCATTTATTTGATTAAAAATACAGTGAAACAGTAATATTATTAGAATTTAAAATAACAAATAAAATAGAATTTTTTTTTATTTGAATATGTTTAAAATTTAAATTTATTCATGTGATGACAAAGCTGAATTTTCAGCATCATTACTCCAGTCTTCAGTGTCACATTTTTACTGCAGTATGATTTACTGCTCAGGAAACATTTCTTATTCATTGTATTATCATTATATGAAAATGGCTCTATTTATTCTTTGATTAATACAAAACTCAAAAGAACAGTGTTTATTTGAAATAGAAATCTTTTGTAACATTATACATTTCTTCATTGCAATGCATCCTTTCTGCATAAAAGTAGTCTATTTTTTTTCTTACCCCAAATTTTTTAATAGTAATGTATCAGCGGTTTCTATAAAAATATTAACTTGTTGCAACAATCATATGATCATGTGACACTGAAGACTGAAGTAATGGCTGCTGAAAATTGATCTTTGCCATCACATGAATAAATTGCAATTAAGAAATATATTACAATAGAAAACAACTATTTTAAATTGTAATAACATTTCACAATATTACGTTTTTTTCTGTATTTTTTATCAAATAAATGCAATAAGAGATTCCTTTCAAAACATTTAAAAAATCGAAATGATTCCAAACTTTTGACCAGTAGTGTATATTTATATGGGGGGGGGGATAATGATGTTTTTGGTGATGCTTAAAGTAACAAAAAAAAAAGAATAAAAAAAATCATCAATTAAAAGAAAAATTTAATTCTTGAAAAAAAGAAATGCTGCTATTAGTTGTTTGGCATAATCTATTATTGTTTAGCATATTAAAAAAATAAGCAGCGAGGCTATTTGGTTTTGAAATATAAGTAATAAATGTCCACCAAATCAAAACCATTTTGTAGTGTGTAAGTCACATGCAGGAAGAAAGAAACCCAGACAGGCAGAAACACCTTTAGACCCTTAGTTAGTTAAACAAACAAACAAGATATTTACATGAAAAGGCATGCTTCATTAAAAAATGAAAAAGATAGATGTCAGCACAAAAAAAAAACAGTAGTGGAAAAATATGTTTGAAAGCTTAATGACCAAGTTGTACATGCAAGTGTATTCAGTGTTTAATGACAAAAAAGCGAGCGCATGATAGAAAGCGTGACAGCAGAGGATATGTGGGAGCTGCTGTGATAGACCCACCTTGTCAACCTTGATATAATTTAAAAGTGTCTGAGACACAAGGACACCCGCAAACACTGTGACATGTTGAATGCTCCCTTACCCTCTCCTGTCGGCTTCCTCCCTTTGAAACGGGCCGCTCCGTCTCTCCTGCTGTCTGGGAAGAAGCCATGACTCTGCTCTCGTCCTCTCATCTTCACTCCATCTTGGATGACAATGACATCGATCCACTTAGGAAGTGAAAAAGTGATCCTGGGAATCCAAGGCCCTCAGTCGGTTTAATCCTTGTTAGAAAGAATGAATTATTTCCCAGCGAGTCCAAATCCAAGTAACTGCCTGTGAAATTAGCTTTTGAGAAATTGAGAAATGAAGGGGATCATTTGAAGGCGACTAACTAGAGCGCTACAGATCTGTCCTTCTGAGTGACTTCATATCTTATTCTTGTTCATGTCTCGCTCTCTCTCTCTCTCTCTCTCTCTCTTTCTCTGCCACACCTGCTCTTGAGCTCAAAGTGACACCTGAGCAGGTGTGCAGCAGTGTTTTGTCGTATCACTACAGCTGTGGATCAAGTAATGCTGGACAGTCTCAGCATCTGAGGTCCGGTTACACTGAAAGGTCAGGCAGGAGCGCCAAGCACTAAAAGGTCATCAGTCTGTAGGCTGTTCCCTAATTGAACCTCCAGGGCCCATAATTATATTCATCAAGGACCTTGCGGTTTCTAGATCTGTTTTTTAAAAATAGATTCAAACCCAATTAAAGAACAACTTTTATTATGAACTTAAATTTTTAGTTACTGAAAATTAGTTTTGATATTTTTATAGTTTTTATTATTATATTATATTATATTAAAGTAAAAAAAAAAAAACATGGGCGTTCAGAGACTGTAATAAAGAAAAAAGTAAAAGACTGAAATGAACATGAACTAAAAAAAAACATGAAACATTATATTTTTCATTAAAAACACGAAAAAATATGATAAACATATTTTTTGAAAATGTATTTATTTATTTTGTGTGTGTGCTTAAAGTAAAATATATCTAGGTGATCAGAGAATGGTGAAAAACCCACAATTTAGTTAATTTTCTTCACAATTGTTTTCATATCAAAGAGTTTCTCAATGTATTTTCTATTCTATAAAAAAATACATTAAAACGCAGTTCAAAGTAAAAACATATATATGTTCAGATATTTAAAAAAATATTTTTAAAGCAATGCTATTGGACATTTTCTTTATAGATGCAAAAACAAAAATAAATAAATGGAGTAAGTAAAAGTAAAAAATGTCTACATGTTTGTAGATTGTAATAAAAGAAAAAAAAATATTGTTAGAAGACTGAATTTTTTGGGGGAAAATGTTTGGCATAATGTATTACTGTTTAGCATAGTAAAAATAAGCAGTAAGGCTCTACTAGTAATAAATATCCACAATGTTTAGTGTAAAGCAGGAAGCTATTTTATTGTGACGCAGGCAGAAACGTCTTTATCTTAAATAAATACATACATACATAAATGCTTGGAAGCTCGATGATTTAAATTGTATACTCAAGCATATTCAACGTGTAATGAAATGTCTTTTTGTCATCAAATGACAAATGATTAAATGAAATGTCATTGAATCTACAAATCATTGGATTTGTTCAGGTTGTTCATTATGTGGGTGACACAGTTAACGAGTGTCATTACATCAGACTAATACTGAGAACCCTTGTTAGTTTTCCATCATGCTCTGAGAGCTGTATCTGGTGTCCTGGTGTCTTTTTTTACGCCGTGTTTCTGAGATACATTAGAACATACTGGTAAAAAATGTATAGCCTGAATGCACTGTAAGTCGCTTTTGGATAAAAGCGTCTGCTAAATGCATAAATTATTATTATTAATTAAATTAAATGATCAATTATAACTTCCAGTGATCCTGAGACGGATACACGCACCGTCGCGTTCTCACCAGCAGATGTCACTAAAGCATCTGGCGCTGCATGACGCATCGTCGTTGCTCGGGCTTTTAGGCAGCTGTTCATGAGTCAGCGGTCTTCTCGGTCGTTACGGGTGAAGTGGGCTCTGTTGCAGTGACGATTCACACGTTTGTGTGATAAAGGAACCGAATTTTGCGCGGTTATAATCCGGTCCTCCCTCTCTCGCGCGCAGTCACGGCTACTGGATAATCTGAGATGCGTTTGACTCAGCAGCCATAGACTGACAGAAACAGAGGCCAAATATCCAGTGGCATTTATAGTTTCAAAACTTTACTAACTATTGCCTCCAGTGGAAGATCCAGATCATTCATTTTCAGCCATGAGCAACACATTGACCAGTGGTCTGTTAATGGTGGTTATGCAAATCTTCCCACATAGTGAGGTAGATATGTGGGGGCGTGTTAGAACGAGGCGTTTTAGGAAGGCGTGGACGAGTCTTAACTTTTATAAAGAATATCTCTTTGGATTTGAGACTTTAGTCTTTGCAACTTTACAGATCTTCTTTATGCACCAAGAGCTTGTAACACTCCAAAGAGAAAGGAAAAATTGAAATCACATCATATGACCCCTTTAATAAAATATAGGCTAAATTATTCATCTCTCATCATGAAAAAGTAACATGACATGTATATTATAACAAATTCATTATTTTGTATGAGAAACAGTTCATTCAGCCTTGAAATGTTTCTGATCACTTATTAAAATTATTTTAAAATACATATCGGAGTCCATATTATGTGGGAGTGTGTTTCTATACTTAGTTACACTTGTGCAAAATGTGCACAAAAATATCCCCAGACACAAAATCAATTGTCTTAAGGACAATTACTCAAAAGGAAATGTGGCTGATAAATAAAGGAAAATAGTATTTCACTCTAGAAAATAAGACATTGTTACTTTTAGGGGTGAGATTAGAGCTAGTCCCTCAGAGTTTGCTTTATTTTATACATATGTTATCATTTAGATAGCTCTTTAAATGATTCATATTCGATCATTCTTTGTAGCACCTTAGAAAAGGGGTAGAGAAACATTCTCTCAGTATCTCACCTGTCACTGAGGCCAGACAAACCGCTCTGACCTCGTACGTTTAGATTCATAGTGAGGTAGGCAACATGCCAAAGATAAAAAAGATGAACTAAAGCCTGAAGCTGCCAGCCCACCTGTCCAAAAATAGTCCTGACCTGAGGCTTTGCATACGAGTCAGAATATTTTAGTTTCAGTGGACAATAAAGTACATAGGGCATTTAGGATAGTGGTTTTATACCATAAATATTCAAAAGAATATGTATTAACCCTCTAAAGCCTGATATATGAAATAATAGTCAGAAAGATCTAATTGATTTGAAATGCATTTTTGTTGTCTTTTATGGCTCATGTAGTATGATATGAGAATATGGAACTCATATTCTCATATCATACACCTCCGTTTTATTCAGAGGCCCAAACTGAGCAAAAATATGCAGTTTGTTGCAGATGTTGTTATTTATATGGCCAAATGAAATTCTGATAGCTTGTAATGTAAATGGAGATCTTTATACATATGAGTTGTCACTCTATATCTCCCAATAATATGTCTTAAGATATTTATATGCTTAGTGTTATGATCAAAGCTCTGTAGTTTTTATTGTCAGGGGAAAACATAATACAATACATAACTGAGAAATACAAATGAATGTTACACAAAAATCTGATTTTGACATCTGATTCTGAAATAAATAAATAATCAAGTAGCCTAAACCTAAGTTGTCATCTTGAAATATTAATACCAATATAAAAGTTATTCTTTTATACTTTCATTGAAAAATTTCACAGCAAAAAGACAGGTACACCACGACCTGAAGGTGGACATTTTTACAATTATAGGCTACTAAAAGGCTTTTTACTTTCAAAAACGTATAATCTTATCTTAATCGTATCTTTCAGATAACACAACACTTAGCCTATCAAATATGATACAGTAGGCTTTAGGGTGACATATGTAAATCAGTACAATTATAATATAGTTGGTAATTTAGGGGACGCATTAAGTAAATTACTGAGACATTTTATTTATTTATTGTTTGTTTGTTCAAGGGACACTTAAAATTGAATTTAAAACAATTTATTAAAGAAAAAAGAATAAAGCACCAGAATTAATTTTCATGGATAGAGGCGGATAGACATCACAGGTTGCCGACAGCGGTGACGTCAAACATCACCCATTCACGGCTTGACGTCACCGCCGACTGCGCTAACGATTGGAGGATTCTAGAGCGCGTCTTTGTGTAGAAGGACCCCACTTCCGCAACTCTACAGACTTCGGTTTATTGCGCTAATCCATCGCTGTATAACACGCCATTTCTTAAGGAGTGCACAAACTGCGTCGTTTCTCAAAAATAAGCGAAAGACAATAAATGCATACATTTATCTTCCATATAAATCCAGCATTTCCTAATACTCATAATTCCCAACGCAATCTGGATTTATTGAGGGTTCACCTTGGTTTATATGACGGATTCACATTGATTTCCTCAACCCATTCTTCTCTATCTCAATGCATGATAAATCTAGCCCACGGCGGACACGAGCGTCGTCGTGATGTCAGTGGATTTTAGGTGCCCCCTCAGGATGCCTGAGTAGTTGCGCTCGCTGCCAATGAGCGTCTCCAGTGTGAATGTCCTTCATTTCTCTGTCTGGCTAGAGAACTTGCCACCACGGATCCTAATCTGGATTTAAATAGGAAAGAAAAGCACCTCTCCGGTTCGCCGCTGCCCCTCAATCGCCTGACATTCTGGAGCGTCTAAAACAACTTTAACTGAGCGCGACATGGAGTGCCGAGTGCTGTCGATTCAGAGTCATGTCGTGAGAGGATACGTGGGAAATAAATCCGCATCCTTTCCGTTACAGGTGAGCATCGTTCATCCGAGGCTCGCGACGGCTGGAGCGGCACGATACACTCGTGATAACTGTTATGTTATGGTGCATGACAGCGTGCTGCTGCTGGAGAAAGGAAAGGTCACATGGTCAACATTCCCTTGCATGCTGTTCTTGTGCAATTTGAGGTTTTTATGTAGTAAACTTCCCTTATGCCAAATCTAGACTATTGCATTTCCAGAACTTGGCCTCTTGATGCTGGTTGCAGTGATATACGAGGCTGAATTTAAAATATGCTCCTATTAATAGTAACTTGGTTAACTGATTGTCACAAAAACTTAAAGCTCTGGTTAAGAGGCTCGTGCTGTCAAAACACTGCCGTTAATCAACGTTAATCATCACCAGAAATGATTGGGATATCGTTGAATCTCGGTTTCTGATAGATCATTTGGCATGAGGGATCGCGCCGCGTCCAAACCATTAAATCGGGCTCATTAGGTTTTGAATGTCTCCAGCTGTCATCATGCCATCAGAAAGCGGCTCTTCTTGTGACTCGAGCCCCTCTTCTGCACGCTCGCGCTGCTGGCGTACGTTTCCCAGACTGACGTCACAGCCGGGACACTCAATTCAATTCCAGCGAAATCGTGACATTTTTCTTTCCAAGGCTCTTCCAGCCGTGTCTAAAACCCACGCTCGCGCATCCTGCGTTTTAATGTTTCATCTTTAAACTTTTGAGTCAGCGTGTGACTTTTGAGTCAGAGAGTGCTAGATTAACCCTCATGTTTTGGAAATGTCTTTATGTTTGGGTTCCCAAAAACCCAAATCTGTACGTGATGTAAATACTATTAATAGTGCTACTAGTAAGTGAAGTTAACCTTTCATTTTCCTGTATGTATCTTTCATCTATATCTGTATGTGTGTGTGTGTGTGTGTGTGTGTGACCCTGGACCACAAAACCAGTCATAAGAGTCAATTTTTTTTTAAATTAGTAGAACAATATTTGGCTGAGATACAACTATTTGAAAAACTGGAATCTGAGGGTGCAAAAAATCTAAATATTGAGAAAATTGTCTTTAAATTTGTCCAAATGAAGTTCTTAGCAGTGCATATTACTAATCAAAAATTAAGTTTTGATATATTTACGGTAGAAAATTAAAAAAATATCTTCATGGAACATGATCTTTACTTATTATCCTAATGATTTTTGGCATAAAAGAAAAATTGATAATGTTGTCCCATACAATGTATTGTTGGCTATTGCTACAAATATATCCGTGCTGCTTATGACTGGTTTTGTGGCTCGCTCTCGCTCTCTCGCTTGTTCTCTCTCTCTCGCTCGCTCTCGTGCTCTCTCTCTCTCTCTTCATGTGACAACACTGAAGAAATTACACTTTGCTACAATGATAAGTAGTGAGTGTACAGCTTGTATAACAGTGTAAATTTGCTGTCCCCTCAAAATAACTCAACACACAACCATTAATGTCTAAACTGCTGGCCACAAAAGTGAGTACACCCCTAAGTATAAAATACAATACAATGCATCATCTTTTGAGCTCTGGAACTTGATACCAACTATACTTGTGTTATTAGTGTGATCATTTAGGAAGCTATTTATTTAAAAGCATACCTAGACACTTAAACTTTTAATTATATTGTATTTATACTATGGATTGAACCTAGCAGATAGAAAAGCTGTTAGTTACCCATAATAACCAGATGAATGTTGATCATAACTGAGTTCTGTGTCCCACAGACCCCAAATGCTACAAATAGTGCTGCTGCAAATCATATATGAAATTACCCTTTATTTTCCCTTCAAATGTGTTTTCCTTGACATAATCGAACCCCAGTAGGCCAATATTATGAAAGTGTTAACTTTCAAAATACTATGACTCATTTGCAGCACCTTTTGAGCTCTCTACCTTAAAAACATCAAATATGCATGTGTTATCATTTAGGATGTTAAAAGCATATGCTAGACTTTCATAAATATGCAGCTGAGACACTTAAACGTTATATAGCTTGACTATTTTAAATAGCATTTACAATGGATGGAGCCTAGCAGAATAGAAACTGTTAAAGTTACCAGTTGCATTGGATGCAAATACAATGGTTAACCATGTGAATGTTAATAATGTCATATTGTATAAAAATGGTTTATAGAAGGGGTGGCCAACATTGGTCCTGGAGAGCCACAGTCCTTATCAACCCCACCTGAACAAGCTAATCAAGTGTAAGGTTTGGAAAGCTAGAGGCAGGTGAGTTTTTATCAAGGTTGGAGCAAAGCTCTGCAGGACTGTGGCTCTCCAGGACCGACGTTCGCCACCCCTAGTATATGGTTCTGTGTAAGTATATTATGTATTCTTATTCTGACTATCACAGGCCCGTGTGAGTCTTTTAATGTAACTGTGTTACTCTCTGAATGAGCTTCTTTTCATGTTTTCATGTTTGTGTTTGTGTGTGTGTTTCAGGTCTTGGGGTTTGAGGTGGACTCGATCAACTCTGTTCAGTTCTCCAACCACACAGGTAGGCTGACACACATATTCTGCTGATGTTTGGATAACAGCTTGTCACTGTGAAGCAATGTCATTTGAAAGTATTTTAGATAAAAGTAGTTATATGGTTCACTTTGGATACAGTGTCTCAAAGTCTGCTTGTCTTGTCCTCATTTGTAAAATCTGCTAATTATTAAATGTAAAGGTATAAGTGTTTAAAATGTTGTGGAAGCATATTTGTTATTATGATGTCACACATGAGCCGAGTAGAATCGGTTACTGTATGATGTCATAATTAGGGCCAGATGGAAATGCAGCCCCAAACAACAGCTGTGTGGACTGATCAGGTTGTGAACACCTAATTAAAAATATACTTGTTATAATGACTTTGATTAATAATGCTTACCAGATGAACAAATTGTGAACATTGGCTGAAATGTTCAACGGTTTCTGAACATTTCAGCCAGTCACAGTATTTACATATAAGGGTTTGAGGCATTAGACATTTGAGGCATTTTTATTCAGATGGTTTTTGATTTAAGATCACAAGTTTTGATCAGTTATCGGATATCACTTGTGCGGAGTGCCCAAATGCATTTTCATATTCTTGCAGTATATTTCATTTGCAAATGCACTGTAGTGCACCTTGACCTCACTATGTTGACCTGTCTTACTGTCAAGAGGACAGAAACAGATGCTTCATTGAAGTGCTTAATGCATATTGCATTCACATGGTGTGGCAGTTCATTTTGAGCTGTGTGCGAGTAGAAAAGTGCAGTTAGTGAGCTGTCCAAACAGACCAAGCACTGATCCTTGTACTTCAAGAGAGTAGGATTATTGTGATATGTTTTCTCATCTTTGGATTGTGCACTTCAAATCTGATCCTTTAAATCATATCTATTATGTTCTGATTGAGACCTTTTTGCTCAAGAGCAGAATGCTGCTGAATTCTTTTGTTCTTTTTTTACTGCCCCTCATGCTCTCCCACATGACGCAAAAGAGGAAAAAAACATGAAAAATGAAGTCTACATGACTGTGTTATATTCCAAGTCTTTTGAAGCAGTAAGTTCATAAGAATATTTTCTGGTTCATGAATTGCACTTAAGTTGAACCTTTTAAATGAATCAGTTTGTTGAATTCACAAAATTGGTCTGAATGATTTGTTCATAAATCGGACTGATCCAGTTGCAAAGAGGTGGAAAATTTCTGGTAAATTTTTGAAATTTTCTGGAAATTTACAGGACATTTTCCACCCCTTTGCAACCCTGTTTTTAAATGCAACTCGCAGGAAGATCAGTAATGACTTAAATGTTCTTAAATCATATGTCGCACAAAGCTATTTTCATGGGTAAATCCAGTCGTTTCAATACTAGGAATCCACACAATTGGGAATTTTGCATAAGGGTTAATGATTTTTCCATGCAGATTTTGCAACAAGTTCAAGTTGGTCACATGAATTTGCCACGATGACCAAACAGAAAGCTGCTTGGCTTGAAAATGACTTCTGTGTGAGCTGTGCTTCATACATCGCTGCACTATTGACAATAGACAGTGGACCCTTTTTTTGCCCACAAAATTTTAATGTGACCATACCTTGACTTCAGAAGACTTGGAATATAGTGCATGATTCAAACAGACTACTTGTTTTATAATGGTGATTTGCATCTCCTCTTCCTGTTCATTTACAATTCATTATGAATGAAAATTACATCCTTTTCATTTTTTTTCTGAACTTAATACTCCAGTGTCCATATTAAAAGGGTAGAAGAAATGTTTATAGAGATGCTTTGGAATGTGGAGAATGTATTTAACTTTTTATTTTTTAATGTATGTAATAATGTATGAATGTTAAGTGTTGTGTGGACCCCAGGAAGACTAGCAATGCCTTAGGGCATAGCTAATGGGGATCCAAATAAATAAACTGTCCCTACCCTTTAAAGAAGTCTGTGTGAGAGAGAAAAAAATGATATAGTACTAGAAAAGTTCCCTCTGGTGACCCAGAACTGCTATACACAGGTGTCACATGTTTATCCATCACTGCTAAACTTCCCAAACACAATTTCTGGACCAGCTTCTTATAACACATCCCGTTTCAAAGCACGTAAGTAGAATAACCCTAACTGGCCTCGGATCAGTGGTCTAAACAACACGTGGCACAACCTGCTGTAGGCTGTTGCCCTGTGACTGGCCTCCCTCTCTCCTTGGATGCTTTCTTCTCCTCAGGGCTGCAACGTTGTCTTTAGCCACTTGAGTTTTTTTTTTTTTAAAGCATTTAAGGCTATAGATGGAGGGACACAGACTCGTGCGCTGCTGGCGTACTTAGTTTAACTGAGTACCAGGGGTCTGCGTGCTGCACTGTGGAGAGATTCTCATCGGGATTTTGTTGTAGTCATGTAGGTATGTGGTTTAGGCCTGTGGACCACACTAGGCCTGAATTTGTTTGTATATCGAGTCTTTAGCAGTCCCAGCAGCACTGTGGTTTCAGCACATGGCCAATTGAAATCATGGGTAACTGGTTTAGAGTGAATGGATGGGCAGTTTGAAGGGGCAAATCATCTAAAAAATTAGGCTGAATAAAGTAGTACTGTGTTTGTTGTCATGTCCTTCATTACTTATTTCTTGGGTACTACTGGGTACTTCTGGAGTTTAGAAGGTACACTAGACTTTTTCCAGATGATTCAGGCTCGTCTCAGTGTCCATGATGTTAATTTTAAGCTGAAGAGAAAAATGGTCTGATTGTAATTCAGCATTTGAGTCGTCTTAGGCCAGAAGCAGTATTATGATTCCATTTATAAATCAAAAATGTTTAATTTACCTTTTACAAAATTGACTTTTTGGTAGGAATGCAATATATTGGCACAGTATTGGTTATTTGATGTTGGCAGTTTGATCATTATTGGATGATATTGGATATTTCCCTGCTTTATTATTATGAGCCCTTTTTCTCATTCAAACATTTTTTTTTTTTCTGTATCACATTTCAAATGGAATATTTGTCCATTTTCTGCTGCTCATTATAATGTTGTGATAGCAGAATTCGCTTGTAACTATTTAATTTTTTTAGTGGTGTGATTTATTTATTTATTTTTTAATAAAAAAGGTTTATAAATTTATTACATCAGCCATTTATTAGTTATTGGCCATAAAATACAGTTCAAAAGTTTGCAGTCTGTAAGATTTTTGCTGTGTCTCTAATGCTTACCAAGTCTGCATTTATGCAATTAAAAATACAAAAATGTTGTGAAGTATTATTATAATACAAAATAACTGCTTTTTTAAAATATATTTTAAGATGTAATTTATTCCAAATATTTTTTTTGGAAACCATAGTTTAAAAAAAAAGTCAGGATTTGACATTTAAGACGTGCTTTTATCAGGATTTGACATTTAAAGCGTGCTTTTATCAACTTCGCCTGCTATCAAAAATCAAACCTTTCTTAAATCATAAAACTTTAGAGATGGCTGTTCATGCTTTTATCACCTCACGCTTAGACTACTGCAACTCACTATACTGTGGTAGTTCTAAGTCATCAATTGATCGCCTTCAACTAGTTCAAAATGCTGCTGCCAGATTCCTTCATAATAGCCGCAAAAGTGCTCACATCACTCCAATTTTGCGGACCCTTCATTGGCTGCCTATTAAATTCAGAATTGATTTTAAAATTCTTTTATTTGTATATAAATCTTTAAATGATCTAGCCCCTATTTATTTATCTGAATTACTATACCCATATACTCCATCCAGACGCTTAAGATCCAGTGATCAGAATCTTCTTCTAGTCCCACAATCCAGACTCAAACGTAGAGGGGATCGTGCTTTTTCAGTGGTTGGGCCGCGGCTGTGGAATAGCCTCCCTTTAGAGATTAGACTTGCCCCTTCTCTGTCCACTTTTAAATCTCTCCTAAAAACATATCTGTTTTGTTTGGCTTACAAATAATTTTCTATTATGGTCTTTGCTTAGTCTTTTATGGGTTTATACTTCGTTTCTCTTGTGTTATTAATATATTTACTTATTTTATTTTTAAGGCGAGACCCTGTTTAATTGTGTAGTTGTGCAGATTTTTATATTCTTTTTACTATTTTGAATTTCTGTACAGCACTTTGGTCAGCCGTGTGGCTGTTTTATACGTGCTATATAAATAAACTGAAACTTGAAAACGATTTATTTGAAATGTACTTTTTATTGTTTGCTACAACGTAAAACTCTTGATCAATTTAATGCACCCTTTGTTGGAAAAGTAACATTTAAAAAAAAAAAAAAACTTACTGACCCCTAACTTTTGGTGTATCATTGTTGATGCAAGTTAGTTTACACGTTAGTTTATAGAGGTAACAGTGTCCATTGACCTGTTAATTGGCCATCTCTAGTTAATGTACAAACATTTAACTGAGTTTCTGAAACATCAGACTGAGCACTTATTTTTCTTCCAGCCACGTTTAGAATAAATTTCTTACTCAAGACACAGCATGTGTTAGTCATGATAAGTAATAGTCATCATTATTCTGTTAACATTTTTTGGTAATCAGCATCTAAAAGTAGTTTCTGCCTGTTGATGTGACCGCAAGGTAAAGGCATTTATAATGTTACAAAAGATTTCTATTTCAGATAAATAGTGTTCATATCGATATCGGAATTAAGAAATATATCGTGATATCAATTTTGGCCATATCGTCCAGCCTTACCGCAAGGTGGTCTCCAGTCTCTAGGACTTCATCGTTTGACCTTGGGAATATATTTACAGATTGTGACGTTCAGACCTTCATCTCTGTTCACAACATCAATGGGCGCTGCAAAGCCTTATGGGTAGAAACAGCATGTACCTGATCACACGGCAGCTTCTGATGGTGATTTGCTGTGAAATAGTATCTGTATTATACGTGTGGGTGAAGTGACTGGGATTAGAGGTTTGTGGTTGCAGAGTTGCGGCAACAGGAAATGATGACGACAGCACCCGTCTTATCACAGATTCCCCTTTGCAGTCATCTTCTCCCCAAAACACACACACACACACACACACACACACATGCACATCAAGGCTACAATGATGCGTCTTTTTCATTCAGCCCCTCAGGCTTTCCTCTGTCCTGTTTCTTAGCAACAAGAAACATACCATGTGATTAGCTCGGTGACTCACCTGAATTGTGACATCACAGCTCCCGCAGCAACAGCAATGGTGTCTGACGAAACGGTGGCGCTTCTGTCCGTAGCCCATAGACATGTGAGAGCAGGTGCAGGAGGTGTCATGTGACCAAACGAGATCTTCGTGCTCGTAGCGTCTCGAACGTCAGCGGACGCTCTGTATCAATACTGGATTTGGAATCTGATTTCTGTGTATTTGATGTGTGATCTGTCTTTATTCAGGGTACTCTCACTGGAAGGGACAGGTCTTGACTGCAGATGAGCTTCATGTCCTGTATGAAGGGATCAAACTCAACAACGTCAACCACTACGACTATGTACTTACAGGTCAGTTCTTTGACTGCCATTCATGGCAGTGCAACTCTGTCTGCACACTGCTGTGGATATTATTTGCATGCTTTTTTGAGCTGAGGGATGAAAAAATGGAATGATGGCATTTTGTGATGGCATAGAGCAATGCACATGGGCCCTGTGTGGGACCCTAGAGGCCCCAGGGACAGCCCGGTGCCATATCTAAAGATCATAATATCATAGAGAGGAAACTCTTTTGTCTGTGTAGAAATCTTCATCTACAGGCAATTTGGGCTCTGTGGATTTCTAGAAAACAAACTAGTGAGAGTGGGGGAAAGTGTGTTTAAACAGTTTACATTTCAGTTTATTTAATTTAATTGCTGGAATGTTATATATACCAAACATACACATTTCTTTGCATAATATTTGTACAATATTTTCACGTTTTTCAAAAAAATATATATTTGCACAATATTTTATAAAATTTTTGTATAGTATTTTACGTTTTGCATAATTTAACAAAATTGCAATAATATTAATAACATGAACAATTAATAATAATTACATTTTATTCATTATTTTTTATTTTTATGTAATAACAATTACAATAATTTGTAGTAATAAGTTTTATTCCCTTTTTTATTTTTTCACATATGTCTTATTTCATCTCAAGTATTGTAACCAGCTACACTGAATTCTGATATATCTTTATTAGTTGCAAAATTGTTGTTAAAAAGTTTTTGTAAAATATTTATATACAATATCATTCAAAAGTTTGGGTTTTTTGAAAGAAGTCTCTCATGTTCAACAAGGCTACGTTTATTTGATCAAAAATACTGTTAAACTGTAATATTGTGAAATATTATTACAATTTTAAATAACTGTTTTATTTTAATATATTTTGAAATGTAATGTATTCCTGTGATGCAAAGCTGAATTTTCAGCATCATCCAGTCTTCAGTGTCACATGATCCTTCAGAAATCATGCTAATATGCTGATGTGCTGCTCAAGAAACATTTCTTATTATTATCAGTGTTGAAACAGTGTTTTTGTGGCAACTTAATGTTTTATGATAGATTGTCATAGCTTAGATTTAAGGTCTGGAACAAGAGTAAAGTAATAAAACGATATATATAAAGATATAAAATAAATAAAGACATGTCAAAATGTTCAAATTTGATGTATTAAAAATCAACCTGGTGTATAAAAAGTGCCAGTCATTGAAGCTCCCACAGGAGCCAAGTTGCATTGGCAAGTGCCGCTTTTCTTCAGAAAATGTAATAATCTAGTTGATTTGTTTGTCTTGTGCATCCAGTAGGTTTGTGTTGTGTTGTCTGGAGTCAGAGAGGAAGTGATCACATCTCTCTCCTTCTCTAACAACGCTGCTAATCAGCACCAGGGGAGCGCAGAGGACACATGGTCATAGAGCTGCAGGTCTCACACGAGCACCGCAGACTGAGATGTTGTGCTCTATTGAGTGTGTTAGCGAGCGAGAAGTCTCTGGTGCATGGGCTCTCCTTTACCATCACCTTGAGAGGAGAAGCAAGAGAGGAAAGCACAGGACGGGTAAAGAGGAAAAGGAGAACATAGGAATAGAGAGCCATGTGAAGTATTTCTACAGGGAGTCCAGCAGAGATATAGTTTACATTGTGGCTGTAGTGTACACACCCTTTCACACAGTAAAAATGTGCTTAGCTCCATCTAACCATAAATAGGTTATAACAATGAGTCTTTTTAAATTTTAGTTTGCTTAAATGTAAATAGCTTTATTTTTAAATAAGCTGTAGTTCTGTGGCTTATTGAGTGTATGCTACCATTAAACATATTTGGGTCAGGTTTTTTTTTTTTTTTTAATTAATGCTTTTGTTTATAATGTTACAGAAGATTTCTGTTCTATATAAAGGAATCTTGAAAACATTTGAATGATGATAAGAAATGTTTGCTTATTGAGTGTATGCTACCATTAAACATATTTGGGTCAGGTTTTTTTTTTTTTTTTTTAATTAATGCTTTTGTTTATAATGTTACAGAAGATTTCTGTTCTATATAAAGGAATCTTGAAAACATTTGAATGATGATAAGAAATGTTTTTGAGCAGTAAATCCGCATATTAGAGAGATTTCTGAAGGATCATGTGACACTGAAGACTGGCGAAAAATTCAGCTTTGCATCACAGGAATAAATAGCATTAAAATGTGTTAAAATGGAAAACAATTATTTCAAATGGTAATAATAATTTACGATATTATTGTTTTTACTGTATTTTTGATCAAATAAATGCAGCCTTGGTGAGCATAAGAGACCCCAAACTTTTGAGCAGTAGTGTATTTACTTTTAACAACAAAACCAGACTATTTCAAAATCACATGAAAAAGTGGTTTTCTTGTATTGATGGCTTTATATAACGAGTTGATTTTGGTGGCTGTCAGTGTTTTGTTTTCAAAGCACTCATTCTGTATCTCACCTGTATATTGACCATCTGTCTTAATGCCTAGGCTCTATTTCTAGTGCACTATTATAATGTCAATCTTTGAACTGCTGTCGGACCCTCCTGCATCCCTCTCTTACTAGTGGCTTGTGTTGTCGCAGTGCGATTCAGTGTGTGACACACTGGGACATCATGAAAGCAGTGAAGGTCAGATGAGTCACATATAGGAGTTATTTACCTGACTGGAGAGACCGAGCCGCCACATGACCAGTAGCTGGAGAGTGGCCCTGGAAGTTTCAGAGCTGTCCCAGCCCAAATAAATGTGGATATTTATGTTACTCACTTCATTTGATACAGTGCATGCGTTGATGTGTTTGAGTTCCAAAATTGCATCCAGCTTAACAGTTGAAAAATTCTCAGGCACAAAGAATGAGATTGACCTGTCGCTCTTTGTGCTGAGTGCTTGTGCTGAGTGGTCAGTATATTTCAGTATATAGTAGTTGGTAAGAAGAAAGTATTGATCAAAGCTCTGCTCTTTCCATTACTGCAGGTTACACTAGAGATACATCGTTTCTGGAGATGGTGGTTGACATTGTTCAAGAGCTGAAGAGGGCCAATCCTAACCTTGTATATGGTGAGTGTTTTTCAGTCTCTTTCATCCTATCTTAACATAAAAGTTGTATAGATTTTCTACATTATAAATTGTTTTTACAAGCATGTTTACTGTTAAAAAGTTGGGGGTCGTTTTTTTTTTTATTCATACTTTTATTCAGCCAGGATGTGTTATGTTGATCAAAAGTGACGGCAAAGACATTTATAATGTTACAAACATTTATTATTTCTATTTCAAATTAATGCTGTTATTTTGAACTTTACCGTTGATCAAAGAATCAAAACGTATCACAGTTTCCACAAAAATGAAGCAGCACAACCGTTTTCAGCATTGATAATAGGAAATGTTTCTTGAGCAGCAAAACAGCATATTAGCATGATTTCTGAAGGATCATGTGACACTGAAGACTGGAGTAATGATGCTGAAAATTCAGCTTTGACATAAGAATAAATTCTATTTTAAAAATATATTCGAATAGATATTTAAAATGGTTGCATTTCTTGATATTGCCGTTTTCTTTGATCAAATAAATGCAGCCTTGGTGAGCATAAGAGACTTCTTTCAAAAAACATGAAAAACTTTGTCTTCGCGACCCCAAACGTTTGAACGCTAGTGTACATTAATCTTGCACATTAAAGTATAACTAGTTTTACTCTGTTTTTCTCAGTTTGTGACCCTGTCTTAGGTGACCATGGTTCAATGGTAAGTTTACTTGTGTTCTTGTTCCTCTCATTCTGATTTCCTTATTTTTTTGTCTTCTGTCCCATTCTGTTCATTATACAGGAAACAGAATTTGGAAAATGTGACATTTATTTCTCATAGTACTCTTTGCCTTTTGCAGTATGTTCCTCAGAATCTCCATCCCGTGTACAAGAATAAAGTGGTGCCTGTGGCCGATATCATCACGCCCAACCAGTTTGAGGCTGAGTGAGTAGAATACCTCCTCTTAACAGCTTTGTGTGTGTTATTTGTGATTGGATGTTTCTGTGCTGCAAATGTCCAACCTCTCTAGCCCCTCACCTGCTTCAGTAAGATTGCTGACAGAAGAGTGATATTGTAGTTCCCTCTAGTGGTCAGCTGTGGATTTACCCATGAACCTTCAGTGCCTAACAGCTGTTCACATCACACTGGTGTGCCATCAACGCTTCTAAGTCCATGTTCTTTATTCCAGGTTGTTGACAGGGAAGAATATCAGCACGGAGAAAGATGCTGTGGAGGTGAGTTTAAATACATACATGAGAAATGGCCCTCATAATCAGAGCTATTTATTTTAATATATATTATTTCTTAGTATATTATTATTAATGTTATTATCTAATATTAAATTAGTAATAAATTAATTTTAAAATATTGATAATAATTATTATTATTATCATTTGGGTTATAAATTATTATTGTCTTATATATTATATATGTTATTTTATTATATATTATTTATTACTGTATTATCATTATTATTGTTATTATGATCTAATATTAAATTATTATTGTCAATAATTTATTATCTTATATATACATATATCTTATATTATCTAATATATTATTATGATATATTATTATTATTGTTGTAATGTAAATAATAATAATGATTATAATTGTTGTTGTTGTTATTGCTATTATTATTGATAATAATAAGAAATATAAGAACAATAATAAAAATATGTTGTAATAATATTTTAAAATAATAAAAATAATTTGTTCTTATCTTAATATTGTCTAATAATATACTAAAAGATAAGTAATAGTAATAGTAGTAGTTTAAAATCATTATTCTTATTTTATCTACTAATATTATTATTACTGTAATGTGAATATCATTATTATTATTACACCCTTTTTTGTGAACACTTTGAAGACTGTTGTCTGTATTTTTGGAAACTTTTGAAAACTGAAACGAAGCACATTGCTGTTCACATGTTACTGGCACCCGGTCGAGGTCTCTGACTGTGTGTGTGTGTGTGTGTGTGTGTGTTCAGGTGATGGACCTGCTGCATAAGATGGGTCCAGACACCGTGGTCATCACCAGCTCTGATCTGCCCCCTCGTCTCGGAGACAGATTCCTGGTGTCTTTTGGCAGTCAGCGCATTTGTAAGTGTGTGCGCTTCCTGTGCAACTCAAAATTACTTTGTCATGAATCTAAAAACATGTCAGACTGCTGAACAATGGAAGATAATATCACTGTGTGCAGATTTGACCAATGACAAAATTTGCAATTATGAGAGATATTTGAATGCGTATGAGTTCAGATATTTTTATGTTAATGTTTTTGTATTTATTTGAAGTGCCTACATGGGATTGTGTAGCCTAGTGGTTAAAGATCAGGGCTGGTTCATGTATGATAAGTTCTTGTGAAGCGAATGAAGAATAAAATAAGCATGTTTGTGCAGTGATGCCTGATGGTACAAGGACGACCCAGCGGATCCGAATAGAGGTGCCGAAGGTGGATGCGGTGTTTGTGGGGACCGGTGATCTGTTTGCTGCTATGCTGTTGGCCTGGACTCACCATTACCCAACAGACCTGAAGGTACAGCATATATTAAATCAGTGTGTCAGAAACGCATCCCAGTGATCATGCAGCGTAGTAAGAAAATGCTGATCAAGTCTCTTTCTCTCTGTTATTCTGTTCTTCGCAGACGGCATGCGAGAAGACCTTCTCTGTTATGCACCATGTCATTCAGAGGACTATATCTTATGCCCATGGTAAAACAACGGCCAAAAGCTTTGTATTTGATATGCATGTTGTAGGGTTGTCAATACACTTTCAGCTTCAGGCGATATCAACAGCAAAAACTAATATAATACTAAACATTCTTTTATCTAAAAGATTAAACAATAACATTAACAAATTAAAAACGTGGCATGAGGCCTACAAGTACTGTCATCATTTACCTCAAGTTGATCTTTATGAATTTCTTTCTTCTGTTGAACATAAAAGAAGATATTTTGAAGAATGTGGGTTACCAAACTGCTGGTCCCCATTGACTTCCATAGCCATTTTTTTTTCCATACTATGGAAGTCATTAGGGTCCATCAACTGTTTGCTTACCCGCATTCTTCAAAATATCTTCTTTTATGTTCAACAGAAGAAAGAAGGTGAGTAAATACTGACAGAACATTCATTTTTGGGTGAACTATGCTTTTAAGTAAACATTTTTTTCCAAGTAATATGTTGAGTCAAAAATAAAACCAAGAACAAAAAATACAAATGAGTGCTTTTCAGGTATCTTGCATCAGTATAAAGTAACGAAATCCATTAAACTTTCTAAAATTGGGGAGAAATTACTACAAAGTACTTGCATGCAATTATATTCCCAAAAAATGTTTAACCAATTAAAATGATGAAAATCTCAATCATAGGATATTTACTTATTCACTTACATCGGTGGCCAGTTATGGCCATTGTAAAGACTAAGCATGTAATTCATACATCACTATCACTGTTTATGTATAAACTCTACCGTTCAAAAATTTGGGGTCAGTAAGATTTTTTTTTTTTGCAAAGAAATTAATAGTTTTATTAAGCAAGGTTGCATTAAGTTGATCAAAAGTGAGTGTAAAGACATTTATAATGTTACAAAAAATTTATAGTTCAAATAAACGGTGTTATTTTAAACTTTGCATTCATTAAAGGTCTTGGGGGGGATATATACAGTATATATATATATATATATATATATATATATATATAGTACAGTTTCCACAAAAATATTAAACACTATTTTCAACATTGAACACTCACAAGTTTCTTAAGCAGTAAATAATCATATTAGCATGATTTCTGAAGGATCATGTGACACTGAAGTTGCAGGTTTTGGTGAGAATAAGAGACTTCTTTCAAAAACATTAAAAGATCTTACCGACCCCAGACTTTAGGCAGTAGTGTAAGTGAATGATCACTGAATCATCACTCTCTTGTGTATTTTCAGAGATGGCAGGTCCTGGTAGAAGACCCAGCCCGGCCCAGCTGGAGTTACGGATGGTCCAGAGTAAAGCTGACATAGAGGATCCAGCCATAGTGATGGAGGCCACTGTTCTATAGAGCCGCCACACGCCACATCTCATCCACACATCTCACCCTCCGCTCACAACTGCACAATGTATAGATGTTGTACATTTTGATATGTAATGTGACATTGCCTTAGAATCTCAGCCAGAGCTCAACAGTTCCATCTCAAGAGATTCAGCAGGGTACAGCCAAACAAGCGAGAGGGAGAGAGCCATCGCGCTCCGAGAGAGTGTAATGCAGAGAAAAGAGAAGGGACGAGGAGAGTGGGAGAGATGATCAGCCTCTCTCATTCACACGATTTTGTACATCTTCACCATCTCTGTCTCTCTCTTTCTCTCGAAGCTCCTCAAGAACTCCGGTTCGTCCTGCACACAAAAGCCCAGTCACTGACATTTCCAGACCAGGTCAGTTATGTAACTAAACTGCCATTGATCTAGTGAGGACCAAAATTTAAAAAATAAAATAAACATTACATTAATATAGGTGTGATACTTTCTATGCTCTGTGATTTTGAGTCATAGCAGTTCAGCAACAAACACAGAAAACAAAACCTAGATGGCTGAGTCTCACAAAAACTGTCAAGAAATGCCCGAGTCATATTTCGGCCTGAATCAAAAGATCAAAATAAGATTTTTATTGCATAAAGGAAAAAGAAGGATATTTATTAGGACCATTAAGATTTTTTTTTTTTTATTGCATTCTTTTCCCCAGTTCTCTGTTGCTCACTGCAATGGGAAAAATTATCATCTTTATATCTTATTTTGTAATTATATATACTTTTATAAAAGTATATTTAAATTTAATTATATATTAGGGCTGTCAAATCGATTAATCGCACATATACAAACTTTTATGTTGGATGCGATTAATCATGATTCATCGATTTGACAGCCTTATTATATATGTATATTCTTTCCTATTTATTTTTATTTTCTATATAGATTTTTTTTTCTTCAAATTACTGTCGCCAGGCAATGATTTTAATAACTGCTTTACATTTAATGAGATTTTTTTTTCAGTGATAAAATGTGATTATTTGTCACAATACATTGTTGGTCCTAAACATAGATTTTCTTTATTCAAAATAATTTTCTTTATGCAAAATATAATTCTCTGTTTTTATCTTTAGATTTAGGAGTTTAGATTGGCTTTGACTTTTCTTTGTGAGATTTACCCAGAAAGCTTTGCTCTCTGCGGTTCTTGATAAGATACCAGATAGATATGTTGTAGCCAACTTCAAAAATGAACAGGTTGTTAAAAGTGTATTACAGACCCAAAGCACTAATTTGTGTGAGAGTCCAACTTGTGTCTAAAATGTGTATTTTAATATTTATTTTTTGTGACTATTCTTCCAAAAAGGGAGATTTTACTGAAGAGATGCGCTGCTGTATTTTGTGACTTGTTGATGTTTTTGGTGAGATATACTGTAATAATGTTTGGCCTTGCTCACGTGTATATGATTTAATTCTCGTTCCATTGATTTCATTTTACATCGAGCATTTATAAATGCGGAAGTTTGAGCATTTCACTTCATGTTTGTTTGTCTATGTAACTAACATTATCATCTAATTTGCTTTGAACTGATTGTATTTGCATTGATAATCTACTTGTTTGTACAAGCAGAAGAAACTTTAAAAGTAGTTTTAACTTTTTTTTATTTGATAGGAAAATACTATCTTAAAAAGAAAAGACTTGTATGAAGTCTGAAGTACTGGGGGAACGTCTTAAAATGCCTTGATTAACAGTAGCTGTGTATGTGTGCTAGTCTGGGGACCTGCGCCTGCTTCTCTCTCACTGTGTCAGAGAACATGGTGCCTTCTGGTTACAATCCTGTGAAAGATAATAAGAGGCAGATGAGTTCTATGTTTCATCAGACTTGTTCTCCTTTGTTCAGTTCATAAGGAGATTGATTCAGGCAACATCTTCCTTTGTGTCATATGTCTGTTTATATCTCTGTTTGATCCATTCTCCATGACACCCCGCAGTTATATGTGGATTTCTCAAGTATTATTTTTGACTTCTGTTTTACACCCAACTAATGCTCTTTCAAAACTAGTCACATTTCTTTTATCCATCGTTTCATCCTCTGATCATTTCTGAGTTGCATTTGTATATTAAAAACTCAAAATTCCTTCTGAGTGAATCTCACGAAAACATATCAATGTCACATTTAACTCCAAAATTGAAAGAAAAAAATGAGAATGAACAAGACAGAAATAGAGGGAGGGGGAGGGGGGGGGGACATTTAGCTTGAAACAAAGCCTATTTTAGACCCATTATCTTTTTTCTTTTTTTTAACATTGTTTTTTGGTGCCAATTATGCACATTTTATTGTAATATGATAATTGTTTACATTTAAATCTGCATGAATTGGTTCAACAAAAAAATACAACAAAAGCATGATGTATAAGTATTTTATTAAATATTATAATTATTAATCATATTTTTGCATTACCAAAATGATATATTAATCGTTATGAAAATAGTTTTAGAATTTAAAAAAAATTATGATTGTAAAAAAAATAGTTACATTTAGACAGCATTTAAGGCCTACAAGTGCTCAGAAAATCCAGTTATTCTTCACGTTAGTTGAGACTTTCATAGCTCTGACTCTTAAAGTGAGTGTACATTTTTATTTAATGTAATGATTGTAAAAATCTGCAATTTATTGAAGAAAATTAAAATATCTTGTTTCTTTTTATTTTGGGGTGAAATATGACCAAAGCATGTTCTTTCATGAGATTCACCCCTCTTCATCCACTTCAGCTTCTAAATTTTCATCTTATTTTCCTTAGAAAAAAAAGATGGCCAATGTGCAGGACTAATCAGGGGTCAGCATTGCTCTGTGGGGCATGTGCTTCAGCTTTTCATTAGTTACCGAGCTGTTATCTAACTTCTTATGTGTACTTGTACATTGTGTACGTGTATGTGTGAATGACTAATGGATGGTTCTACTGTGAGTGTGCGAGTATTTGTGTTCTCTGAAGGAATATGAGGGTGTGAAGGGATAAATGGGGGAGGGAAGTAAAATAAGAAAAGCCAAGTCTAGCCTTTATGAATAAAGACAGTGAGCTGGTATACAGATGATCATGACATCACTGTCTCTGAATGAACTGTACTGGTACCATTTGCTAATGTGGCACTTGCTGAAGTACCACTAAACAGCCAAGAGCTTGTAACACTCTAGAAAGGAAAAAATGAAATCGCATCATATGACCCCTTTAAGGCAAAATAGCTACTTCTTCATGGAGATGCCTTGGTGAACAGTTAACCGTATGGCCTGCAGCAAAATGTGCATGTTAACTATATTTAAAGCAACAGTATGTAGGATTTTACCTTGAAATGGCTGTTTCAAAATAGGCCAATTTGGATTGTAAACGGACTTTTACTAAGGCGAATGGTTTTGTTTCTTTTCCACACTCACTCTCAAACGTCCGTTCTAGTAGTATGTAAATTTGGTGTGCGGGTACGAATTCCCGCGAAAAGGGCAAATTGCTTTGCAGCAGCAAAAATGCACGTGTACAGTGATATATTTACGACAGTGAATTCTACTAACTTAACTGTAGGGGGCTCCAAAGTTGCAAAATACACACAACTTCATACAGTTGCTTTAAATATATCAACAACATGCTAACAATGAAAGCACACTTGTGTTTACTATTACTTAAACAACAAGTGTGTCCTGATATAAGAAACCCTGTCAGAAAAAAAGTAAAGGAAGTTGCATCTCACTCTGTTCCTGGGCAGCCAAATATTCTTTATCGCAGTGATGTCTAGTGCATTCCATGAGGGAAGTGTGGTCAAGAACTTTTGGGATGAACTACATTTTTGTTTGTTCTGTATACATAATGTTTGTAACTTGTATATCGGTCTGTGGAAATTATGTGCTGTTTATTGTAAGACTGTGGATCAAAGATGACCAAATGACGCTGAGCTCCTTCTAGTGGACGGAGCTTCTATCGTCTGAGAAAAACTATTCCACTACCATAATTTAGGCCATAAACAAAGCGATCTTCAGTATACTAGGTCCCTTAATGCCGTTCTTTTTTAATCTGATGTCCTGACTCCATATGATACGGTTTAATCGCTTGGACCTATTTGTCATCGATGTATATGTCGTCATTTGTAGTTCACAGAGTTTTGTATAATTAGCTGCCTTCCATTACAAGGCATTGAATGCCTTACAACATGTACAAAAGCATTTCAGGCCTACTAGTGCTCAAAAAATCGAGCTATTTTTCACGTTAGTTGCGACTTCCATAACTCTGACTCCTGAAGTAAGTGTAGGTTTTATTATTTCATTTTTGTTACGTTTCATTTTCACATAGTAGACTGAGGTGCGAGACAGGATAGTTTCCGAGGATGAAACATCTTTAGAAAATGATGGAATCTGACAGAAATGAGTCATTGTGTCTTGGTCTCTCAGTGTGAATCGTTATTTCATCTGTAAAATGAGTGTTTAAAATCACTGTGCTTGCTATAATGTACTCTTGTCCACAACAGTACTGTTTAATAGAAGATTCTACGGCAAGAGTACATGAGAAAACACTTGAAAATGTGTCCTCACAGAACGCCAAATATGAATTTCAATGACATCATAATGGGCAGGATGACATGTTGCCAGGGCAACAATAGGAGGCTCATTCTAATTCTCTGTAAATATGTCTCTCTTAACAGTTCTAATAGTGACATGTCAGTGCTTCACGATTCATTTTGATTCCCTCTCTGTTGACATGGTTGGTATCAGAAATATTTTTTGTTCTTTTTTTGGTTTTCCGTTCTGAATGGGGTCAGAAAAGACAATAAAAAATAAATGTTTGGTAAAGTTTTTAGTGCTTTGTTTTCATATTCTGAATATTTTATAATATGTACCAATAAAGATTGTAGTGTACAAATCCACATTTATAATGTATGTATGTTATAATGCAATAAAGAAAAACAAAGTATTATATACATGTATGTGTGTTTCTTAGGATGTTAAGAAAAACTAATGCTTTTTACCATTTTTAATGTGTCAGGTTTAGGCTGCTCGCTCAAAATTCTGTGTAAAGACAATGCAGCAAAAAGCCATACTAAAATATTGCAGCTCTGACACTACTTTGGTAGTGCAGCTTCAAACTTCAAAGGTGTCTTTGCATAGTCAAGTTAAGGCTGCTCTGTGCCAGCTCAAAATTTGTTGTAAACACATAATACAGCTTAAAGGGGTCATATGATGCGATTTCAAGTTTTCCTTTCTCTTTGGAGTGGTTTGAGAGAGGCGGGGCATAGAGGACCTACAATAATGTACAGTATTTGAAAAATAATGTGTTTTTTTAACATTAAAGCATGTCAACATATTCTGTTACACCAAATACACAAAATAATGATCTTTAAAATAGCATCATATGACCCCTTTAAAAGCCAGAAATTTTGCCTGCTCTGAGTCTCCTCAGCCTCTAGTACAGATGTAAATGCATTTATGCCACCTCTCTGCAGCATTACACAGTCTATGTAAAGACACCTAAATGCCACTTTAGAAGCACTTCAGCGCCACCATTGCAATGTAAATTTGGCATAAATGAAATGAAGCAGCATCAATGCAGCCTCAGACTTTGTTGTTGTCATAACAGCATATATATTTCATTAATTTTAAAGTGCATATATTCACAATTTGAGAAATAAAAATGAATAATTGTACAGCTCTAATGCTGCTTTTGGTTCTGTT